CCCGCGCTACTTCTCGGCGGCGATCGAGCTCCGGCGCGCCCCGAAGTTCATCGCAGCAGCCCCCCCCCCCGGAATCCCTCCCCAGTTTCCATTCCCAAACACCCCTTTGGGGTGTGTGTGAGTGCGCGCGCGCCCGCGCCTCTGTGTGTGTGTGTGTGTGCTGGCGATTTCGCCGTCACGTGGCTGGCTGGCAGTCATTTTTGTGTGTGTGTGCGCGCGTTGTTGGTGCTTGCTGCTGTTGTGTCGTATGGTTATTGTTGAGAGTAGCGAGGCTGTAACAATGCGTTCGCTTCTCCCTCTCTTTTGTGTGCCTCTCTCTCTCTCTCTCTCTGTGTTTATTTCTAAACTCTGGCCCAGGTCAGTAGTGGCGGGAGGAAGAGAGCAGATCTCCCTCTCGGACTCTTTAAAATAAGGTTTTGAAGAAACCGGGCACGAATTGCATAACCCTTGCTTTGCATAATCTGGAGTGCATCGGGTTTGCCCTCTTTGCAATAGGGGTTTGAGATTATTGGATTCCGGGGTAGCATTGGATCACGTGTAGTCAGTAGCATGTTAGTAATGCTAGGAAAGGGGGGGGCTTCTGTCACTATCTAGCTGAGGCTTCAGCCTGCTGGTTAATTTCAGTAAAAATACTTTCCCCCCCCCCCCCTTTGTTTGTTTGGACCCTTCAAGGGCATGTATTAAAAGTGAGTTTTGTCCCAGAAAGTCTTTGGATTCTCATGCTGCTTGACTGCTTGCCTTTTATCATCTAAGATGTAGAATTGGCGGGAACGTTTTTGTTCTTAAAGCAAGCAGGAAACAATTTCTTAACTTTTACACATTTCAAGATATGAAATTGTAGCGTGAAGGGCCCCACCCCCCTTTCCCCCTATTTACTCTGAGTGCCTTGGTTTGGAACTTGTTCATGAATGCAGGGGTTATTTATTTATTTTCTCTCTCAAAACATAGTTGGAGAGGACGCCTGGATATTTTGTGTGTGTGTGTGTGGTGACTGTATCCTCAACATTGACTCAGGAACAATTTGGGCCTTTTTCTCCTTAGCAGTTATGTCACATCATGTGATACTCTGTGTGTGTGTGTGTTTGTGATGTGTAGTTCTAAAAATAAGACTTAGGTAAAAAGCTCTTCCCTCAGAAGTTAAAATGTGTTGTGAAAGTGGGGGAGAGAGTGTTTCTGATTGCAACAGCCTTTCTGAAATTCTAGAAGCAACAGCAAGCCAGTTAATCCTCCTGGTTAACTGATAGATAGACATTGAACTTCTAAGGGTATTTAAAAAAAAAAATCTGCGTTCTTAAAAGAATTAATCTTAGTTGGGAAAAGATAACAGCACCAGGCTAACAACGCTGATGTTAAGTTGTATTCAGAATATGGCTTGTTGGTATGATTCTAGATAGAGGCAGGGATAAGTTTCAAAATTTAAATTGTGTTCTGCTGTTGCTCTAAGAAGATAATTTTGACTCTACTGAAAGGGACTAGTTCAGGAAGAGAATCTGTCAACAAAGTGATTGTCACATAGGAAACACCCCTGCATTTGAGGAATAAAAACTATAGTGGTATTTGGTAGTGTTAATGGAAAAGTGTAATAAGAGGATCAGAGTGCTTCCAATTTACAGGAGCTATATGTATGATTTTAATTTCTCAGCATTTTCAAATGTTGGAAGACACTAAGATAAAAAACAATGTTGATGATGTTGTTCTGTTTTTGTTAGAAGTTAGCTCCAGTTCACAGGATCCCCCAAAACCTTATGTGACTGCAGATAGTGTCTGGTACGCATGGGGGGGGGGTGATGGGATTTGTATAGATTATGGCTGTAGTTATTCTCTGTGTCAGTATGATACTGAACAGTACATCTTTTCTTTTATACAGCTGAGCTTTGGGCACCCAGTTCAGCAGATCTGCACCCAGAAACCTAATTTTAGCCCTGAATTAAATTCACTGACACTCTAAAATTTTGTGTTTGCTCGAATGGATGAAATCCCTTTTACAATAAATCATATTTTTCTCAGGTATCTAAAAGTAGTCATTTTGTGAAATCTTAAAAGGCCAACATGTCTACAGTGACTTCTGCTTTCATGGCTAGACCCCACTTTTCCACATGCATGACTGATGGAGTGGGATGTAGTCCACAGAAGTTGTTCTCTAGCACGTTTGTGCTGCATGACTTCTTGCTGTGTTTGTCTTTCTAGTCTGACATATAACCAAACTGAAATTCATTACCTGTGTGATGGACCCCACCTTTCTTCCCAAGGGGTTTTTTCCGAATCGGCTCATATCAGTCTTCTCTTGTTTATTTTATTCACACAACATTCCTGTCGGTAGGTTAGGCTGAGCTGAATGTGGGGCAGAGTGGGGAGTCAAACATGGGTCTCCCAAACAATGCTCCCTCTAAGCTGTGGAGTCTTGTGAGCAAAAATTCCACTTTGTGAGCTACTGGCATTAAAGTTGTGAGCGAGCGATTTGGCTACTGCATAAGTTAGTTTGCTCTGGAGCCATTCCTTCCTGAGCTCAGACAAGAATGTGTGAGCTGGAGGCTAAAAAACTGTGAGCTCGCTCACACTAACTCAGCTTGGAGGGAACACTGCTCCCAAATCCTAGTCCAGCACTCTGACCACTGTACCAGACTGAGCGTGGCTGCCCAGTATCCAGCAAGGGCCAGCCTGGTAAAGCGATTAAGGTGCTGGATTTTTTTTGCCCGTGAAATTGCAGCCACGTTATGGAGATCCCTCATGGGGCTTATCCTTGGTGGTCTCCCATTCAAATACTGACCAGGGCTGACCCTACTTAGCTTCCAAGGTCGGGCCAGCCTGGGCTGTTCAGGTCAGGGTGCTGCCAAGTGTGGCTGCTCAGTATCAATGTGATATGACAATTAAGGTGTTGTCCTATAGCTGGGCAGATCTGAGTTCCAGTCCCACCTCTGCAATGTCTGGAAGTTCATTAGGTGCTATTAGGGCAGTCACCCCCATTTCAGCCTAACCTTCCACTAAACATTGGTATGAGGGGGGGATACAGTGGAGGGAGAGCGGGGGTGAAGGTCGCCCTAAGCTCTTTGGAGAAAGGGTGGACTAAAAATAAACAAACAAATTGAAAATGTGGAAACTGACACTTGGCTATTCTTAGTATAATGAGGGATTAAAAATGGGTGAAGTTTTCGTAACAGAGTTTTCTTTTTCCCCATTCCATTAGGATGTGAATGCTGCTTTAGTCTGTTACATACCCTGACATATGAATCTTCAGGCATTTCATTAAGTCTCCCTGATGCTTCTGTGACTTCCCGAATAATGTTGTTTATAACTTTCTCCCCTTATGCACTTTGTAGCATTTTAAAAATCTGAGCTCTTAAAAAGTTGTGCTTATAGACAAAGTAGCTGTTATTGGATATCAGATATTCAGTGTTTTGTCGGTCTGCGCAGCTCTTGAATGGGCAGAGTTGTGGCATCAGCTTGGCCTAGTTGGGTGATGGATTATTGCTATGATGTACTTTGCTCACTGTCAACAGATAAGCTCCGAGGACCTAATAGGGTGCAGACAAGTTTCTTATCCTATCAGAAAAGCCTGCACAACATTTTGCTAGTAAACCAGTTAAGAGACCTGGCTGGAAAAGGGCCCTTTCCTTCATTACATGATCTTAAAAAAATTTTTTTACTCATGTTTTG